GGTGTTCTCTGGAAGATCAAACAGTTCCACAGGTCCTTTTTGTTCTTCCTCCTTCAACCTCTCTTTTCCAAACTCCGAAGGATAAATCTACAAAAACAACAACACAGAAGTAAATTTTTAACTGTAGCAACATGATGTATACCAGCTAAGAAAAAGTATCTCACCAAGTCTTTTAGGCTTAATGTTTTTAATCTAGAATCAGTAATGGGTTCAGTTCCATAAACTTCAATACCCTCTTAATTTACAGAAAAGAATGAACAAACTGCCTGTTAGGAATGTGAATATGAAGATGAAGAGCAGGAGCCCTAACTTCAATCATTTCTGTGACAATCTGTGACCCTTTGTCAGAAAAGGGGATCTGACTAACATTTCTCAGAAAGCTGGAGGCAGACACTAAAAATGGGAAAATATAATTTAACTGATCAGAATTTGACCAATTTATTAATAACTCAAAGGTGGTGAGAAACAATAAGTGCAATGATAAAAGGGGCTGGGCATTTAGAAACAGCCAGATTTAAGGCAGGGTTATCTGTCACAAAGACCACTGAAAATGGAACTAGCCAAGGAAATGTAGTCTCCTCCTACCAGAGTTTGAGAATTTCACTGTTAGTCTCAGAAAAACAGCATTTAGAGACAACATCATAAACACGAGATGTTAACACCTTCAGGTTCCAATTCTACTAAATACATGCCTGCTGCTGAAAAGCAGCACATTCATTAGATGGCAGGTTAAATTGCAACACGATTTCTAATTTATCATGTTAACACCTCTTTTGGTTCTTCACAGAACTCTCTTACTTTGTTCTTAACTTGCTGTCTTTATCTTTTTTGAAACAGTAAAAGCCAGTTCTCCTTTTAGAAATCAGGTCTTACCTTAACACAAAATACTGTTCCTCCTTTGGGCGTGAAAGAATTAAATAGAGCCAGCAAATCCTTTGCCTTCAACCTGTCCCAGTCCATATTACAAACTGCCAATCTACTCGTAATCTGAACAGAGAAAAAAAGGGGATAAAGTTCATAGGTTTAATTCCCGATTGCTAGGGGGAATACACAATCACAATTCCTGGGTAAAAATCAAAGTCAGCAACAAACTCCACTGAAAAAATAAAGTAGCATTTTCCCCCAAGACTTTTTTCACTTAAACAAGCAAAAACCAGAAGCAGCAATCACCAGGGCAGATAAAAAGGACATAAATAGCAAAGCATTGCAGAATGGACTGCTCCAATCTCAGATTTAGGAGTGCAGTTACAACATCAGCACTCAAGAATTTTGTTATCATATGGCTAGTCACAACAGCAACTAGGATCACAGTCCTGTAACAGTACTAGAGCATTGTGATTTCTTGTACACTAATAGTGCTCACTTTTAAAGTCCTGCTTCACTGTCTAATGATTCTTTAACTTCTTAAAGAACAAGCTAAAAAAAAAAAATATTAAAAAAAAGTTTAAAAAAATCAGTACTGAACAAAGCAGTACTGTTTAAACTCTGGGATTTCCAAAAAGCTCAGTTCTGTTTGTTCTTTCCCTTAAAGATAGCCTTTGCTTAGAGGGGAGGGGAAACACCAGTGAAATCTGCAAGTCCCATTCTCAGCCAATTCCATCATCCCTTTCATTCTGTAACTAAAAGGCTGAAAAGCCTTTACAAAAGATACTTTCATGGTTTCCTAGGTGAAGGCCTATAACGCAGCATACATTACTAATGTTTATAACTCACAACAGCATACATTACTGAGTTTGTTATGTAGCAACTTGTCATGCGTGAAGTATTGTTACCTCATCTCCACGAAGGGCATCTTTGTCTAGCTCACGCCATGAATGCTCTATCTCTGGCTCCTTTGGAAAGAGGTCATTTAAATCCTCATCATCCTCTGAGCTCGTCTCAATGTTCCCTATCCCTCTAGCTAGATCAGGCCCACTATCACTTTCTTCATCATCTTCTGAATCACTGTATTCTTCCCCTGTCTCCCCATCATCTTCTGGCTCCTCTTCCTCGCCTGTTTCTCCATCATCTTCCGGCTCCTCTTCTTCCCCTGTTTCCTCATCATCTTCAGGCTCCTCTTCCTCCGATTCTGCGTACTCAAAACCATCACTTGCAGAAATATCTTCCTCTAATTGTCTTTTACTAATATCACTTTGATTGCAGGTGTCTGTGTATGCAGTCAGTGAAAGAAAACACGAGACATTTATTTTTATGTTGGAATTGCATATAATCCTTTACAAAGACGAAAAAAAGAACCTCTTTTTTTACCACAAAGATTTACAGAACCCCTGAAATGTGTAACGATGAAATAACAAACTACATCAGGGAAATGCCAACAACATAAATCATCGATATCAGTTCTTCAGCTTGTCTAATCTGATCACTCTTTAGGCCCACAACTGTATTATCAATGGCAAGTTCTAGTGAAATATTATCCTGTTATTCTATTTAAATGCGTAGAATCAACAGGCAGAAATGAGATTTCAATAACATAAGCTATATGAATGCACAAGCAATATAAAGAAAGTTTCTTTAAGTCACCTGTTCTTGCTAATACCCGTTTATATTAATGGCTTGATGTTGCCATCTTTATGCATTCAGTCTTCAAGCCTTGATATGCTTAAGCCTTCATGGTATAAGACCTTGTATTTGCTAATCAGTTTGACAAACACAGCAGTCTATATACTACTATACATTTTGTTTTTTTAACTAACCAACAACTTCAGCTCCAGCAATTAGGAGGACACGGAAGTTCACAACCTTACTGAAGAGTCAGCACTGACAAAAAGCTGACCAACTCCGATTCTCCAGCAACACTGAATCTGAGCCAGTCAGCTATTTCATGACTGATCTTGCAAAAGTTCTTCCATGGATAAAACAAAGGCAACAACACCCAAGTAAACATGTCATTTGAACAACTAACCTGGTTCTTTGCTTTTTCCTCCTACAGAACTGTCCTTCTGGAGAGCTTTAACTGATTTAGTACCACTTGATTGTGAAGAGTTTTGCTTGGTTTTAATCGAAATTGATCTTCCCTCTGATGCATCTCCTTGCTTGTTTTCCCCTTTGTGTAAAAAGCCCTTGCTTCCCTGAGAGCCACCAATTTCTGCTGCAGTTTTCTTAGAGTCCTCTTTCAAGTTTAATTTAGCTGTCTTTTTTTGTCTTTCATCTTTAAGATTATTTAGCTTTGTCTCTGCTTCACATGTTTGGCCCACCCCTTGTTTGTCTGTTTGACCATCACCAAGTAGCTTTGCAGAATCTGCTTCTCCTTGATGTTTAGGCTTTTTTTTTTTTATTTTCTTTTTAGCACGTTCTTTACCATCACTTTCTGAAAGATCAGAGTCAGATTCTGACAGGGCATAAAACTTCCTGAGGTTCTCTGTGGAAGTATAGTTAACAGGACGCCCTCTTTTATCCACTGTATACTTCAGCTTAAACTTCTTGTCATGAAACATTGCTCTGAATCGCTTGTCAATCTTGATTTTACGCTCTTTTTCAGGCATCTCCCAAAACCTGGGATCCCTGGTAACACAGCTGAAGCGCCCATCGCTCAGTATTTCCTGCTGGGAAGACATTTTTGATGCTGTTGAAGACTTGGACATCTACAATATGGAAACAAAATGAAACAGTTATGATTAAAAAACTTGTTTAACATAGTTTTAGACACAACGAAAAAAATTAACTAAGCAAACTTAGATTTCTGACCTATACCTAAAAAGCTCTTTACATAAAAAAAAATAGCGATTTAAATGAGTCACAAATAATCCTGTAACTACCACAGTCTTGGCCACAAACAAATCTTAGCTTCCTCAGATAATGGATATGCAACTAAAAAGACTAAACTTGCTGCAGATAGAGCCTGAAGTGATTCCCCACCAAACCCAAACAGGACCTCATGGAGTTTCACTGTAAGTCAGACCTCTGGCTTATCCATCAGGCCTCGGGTACATAGAATCATAATGACATCAGCTAGGCTGGAAGACCCTTAACATCATCAAGTCCAACCATTAATCCAGCACTGCCAAGTCCACCACTAAACCATACCACTCCTCATCCACATGGATTCTGAACACTTCCAGGGACGGTGACTCCACCACTGCCCTGCGCAGCCTGTTCCAACACCTGACCACCCTCTTGGTGAAGAAATTGTTCCTAAAATCCAACCTAAACCTCCCCTGGTGCAGCTTAAGGCCATTTCCTCTTGTCCTGTCGCTTGTTACTTGGGAGAAGAGACTGACCTCACTTCATACAACCTCCTGTCAGGCAGTTGTAGGGAGCAATAAGGTGCCCCCTGAGCCTTCTGTTCTCCAGACTAAGTCCTGCCAGGTCCCTCAGCCGTTCCCCATCACACTTGTGCTCCAGACCCTTCACAAGCTCGATTGCCCTTCTCTGGCCCCGCTCCAGCACCTCAATGTCTCTCTTGTAGGGAAGGACCCAGAGCTGAACACAGGATTCGAGGTGCAGCCTCACCAGTGCTCAGTACAGAGGGTCAATCACTGCCCTGGCCCTGCTGCCCACACTGGTGCTGGCACAGGCCAGGATGCTGTTGCCTTTCTTGGCTGCCTGGGCAAACTGCAAGCTCGTTACCAGTTAAAGCGCCGATCGGGAACGTTTCGGCGAGCTCAGGCCGTTCTCACCAGCAGCTCCGGCGCAGGCAGCAGCGCGGCCTTCCCCGAGGGGCCCGCTGCCCCGCGCCAAGCCGGCTACAGTATCCCGCTCCCTCCCCAAGCCCAGTAGCGGAGAAGGCCCCACAGACGGGCCCCACAGCGCCCGGCCCGGGCCCACCGACCGTTACCGATCACCGCTGCTGCCGCTGCCTTCCGCCCACAGCCCGGCTCCACGCTCCCTCAGAAACCCACAGTGCCCCGCGGCCCGCTTCCCACGGCGCTACGGTGGCCGCAGCAGGACAAACCGCTCCCGACCGACCGGACGGCCGTGGGGTTTGCAGTGCGCATGCGCAGAAGAGAGAAGCGAGGCGGGGGAGCTGGGTTCTTTCCCGCGCATGTGCTGGCCGCGCACTTGAGGTGATGGCGGCTGTGGCCGTAGGGCCGCGGTGGCTGGCAGGGTCTGGCCTCCTGGGCCGGTGGGGCTGCGGCTGCCGGCGGCTCTGGGCGCTGCCAGCAGGACTGGCCGCTGCCGCTCCTCCTCCAGCCGGTGCTTCATCGGGCTCGGGCGCGCTGAGCCCCTTCGACCGGCGGCTGAAGCGGAAGCAGAAGAACTGGGCGGCGCTGCAGGCCGAGCCCGGCAAGTGCGACTACCTGCGGGAGGAGGTACCGGGGAGGCCTCTCGGAATGGAGCGGGAGGCGGCGGCGGGGCACGGAGGGGGCCGCCCTAGGGCGCTGACGGGCGGGTTTCCCCCTAGGTCGGCGGGAGGATAGCGGACAGGGTGTTTGACATCCCCAGGTAAGCCGCGCCGCGGGGGGAGGCGGGCGCCGCTCCCTGTACCCTCACACGCACCCGCAGGGTCACGGCCGAGGGAAGAGACGTTTCTTGTGAGCGCCTTTCCCTGCGCTTCCTCGCAGCGGTGACCACGGGAGGGCGCTCAATGTGTTCCGTTCGGAAAGACTTCGGGACATGGGCAGCCAGAACTTAATGTAGTCTAAAACTTGACATAGCTTCAACTCTGGGTTTTATGTTGTTAAACTTATGCTTTAGAACCTTTCCGCTTGCTTTGGATGTCGGCTCAGGAAGAGGTTACATAGCTCAACATTTAACCAAGGTACTGGCTCTTCACATTGAAAACCGTTTATGATAAGTATGTATTTATTCCTTTGTTTGCCAGTAGGTCTCTATTATAATTTAAAGCAGTCCTCTGAATTTTGATGAGGTAAACCTACTCATATTTCAGGTACAGTTCAAAGATGTGCCTCACGCAGGCTGTTATACTGTGTTTATTGTCATTGAAGACTAGACAAATGGTAGTGCAAGGGAAGCTGTCAGTTGTGTATTTGTTAACATTTAGTCTTGAGTACAGATATGTATGCTTTTTTATCAGTCTGTTGGATGCCCTTAGTTGTTACAGAGAAGTATCATTATGGAGACTTTAAGCAGTGAACAATTTACCCTTCATGATCTGCACTGTAGGTAAAAGCACTTCATTAGTTGCTAATCCATGGTTTATATCGACTGAACTTAGACGTGAAAACACAATGTGTTTTTTGTTACTATTTCTATTTCTGTTACTATAGTGGGCCTACAAGGATGATGGGGAGGGACTCTTCATTAGGGACTGTAGTGATAGGACAAGGGGTAACGGGTTCAAATTTAAACAGGGAAAGTTTGGATTGGATATAAGGAAGAAATTCTTTACTATAAGGGTGGTGAGGCCCTGGAATGGGTTGCCCAGGGATGTTGTGAATGCTCCTTTGTTGGCGGTGTTCAAGGCCAGGTTGCATAGAGCCTTGGGTGGCATGGTTTAGTGTGAGGTGTCCCTGCCCATGGCAGGGGGGTTGGAACTGGATGATCTTAAGGTCCTTTCCAACCCTAACTATTCTATGATTTCTATCTCAGCTATTAGTAAATAGGAAAAATTACTATGTTAGGGGGGAAAAATGCTTTTTACCTTTGTATAGAGTTTTTAACAATTGTTGAAGAGATTCCTTATAACTCATTACAAACTTGTGTAAGCATTTAGAAACATTGTTAATGTCAATTTATAACTAATTTAAATATTTTATAGACCTGTTAAATTTTCTTTCAGGACACAGTTGAAAAACTTATTCAAGTTGATATTGCAGAGAATGCCTTAGTAAGTAGTTTTCTGAATGCTGATGGGCTTCAATTCCGTAATACAGGAAAGCAGAAGCAGCGAGTTTCTGATGTTATTTTTCTTGTAACCCACCTTTAGAAGAATGCTGTGGAATCTGAAGTCCCTACAGTCAGCGTTGTAGCTGATGAGGAATCCCTTCCTTTCAAAGAAGATACATTTGATCTTGTTGTTAGTAGCTTAAGGTAAGTGTTAATTTCTTTATAATTAATTTCTTGGTTAAAGATGTTAAATAACGTTCTTTTCAAAGTAAGTTTAAGGATAAAAACAAGAGAAAGATGAATATTCCATTACTGCAGTAAGAAATGCACTTGCATAGTTAATAGGAGTGTACATTAGGAAAAAATGCCATCCCTATGGTTCTTACTGTTGGTTTTGTGGTTTCTTTTTTTTTTTTATTTCAAGACTCATAGAATCATAGAATAGTTAGGGTTGGAAAGGACCTTAAGATCATCTAATTCTCACCCCCCTGCCATGAGCAGGGACACCTCACACTAAACCATGTCACTGAAGGCTCTGTCCAGCCTGGCCTTGAACACCACCAGGGATGGAGCATTCACAGCCTTTCTGGGCAACCCATTCCAGTGCCTCACCACCCTAACAGGAAAGAATTTCTTCCTTATAGCCAATCTAAACTTCCCCTGTTTAAGTTTGAACCTGTTAACTGCTTGTCCTGTCATTACAGTCACTAATGAAAAGTGGTGCCCCAGCATCCCTATAGGCCCCTTCAGATACTGGAAGGGTGCTCTGAGGTCTCCACGCAGCCTTCTCTTCTCCAGGCTGAACAGCCCCAATTTTCTCAGCCTGTCTTTATAGGGGAGGAGCTTCAGTCCCCTGATCATCTTCGTGGCCCTTCTCTGGACTTGTTCCAATAGTTCCATGTCCTTTTTATGTTGAGGACACCAGAACTGCACACAGTGCTCCAAGTGAGGTCTCACGAGTGAGACAAGTGAGGTCTGCTTTCTCACAAGACCAGAGTAGAGGGGCAGGATCACCTCCTTCGACCTGCTGGTCACGCTCCTTTTGATGCAGCCCAGGATACGGTTGGCTTCTCTCTTCCCTGCATTTTGACAGTGTTACTCCAGGACTTGCATCTTCCCAGTTTCCAAAAAAAGCTATTTGTATAATTTTTTAGAACTTGAACAGCTTGAGGAATTGCTTTGTTGCTTTGGATTTTGAGGCATACTGAGATAATGTAACAATTATTTGCATATTTAAAATGCAATTATAAAATGTATGTGTCTCTTATTTCAGTTTACACTGGGTGAATGACCTTCCCAAAGCTTTTAGAGAGGTAAGAAACTGGTTTTTAATACTAAAAAACGACACCAGACATTACTTTTTTTCAGAGCATTCCATATTTCCAGGTTTTCTTTAAATAAAAGGCACAGAAATAGCTCCTGTTGTACACAAGTGATTTTTTTTTTTCCCAATATTTTTGGTAGTTTGAGGAGCATCAGTTGATATTTCTAATTATTTAGTGTCTGAAAATAATTTGGAATAAGTAACTGTGAGGCAACAAGTTTGTATAATGTTTTATAGTCTCAACAGCTGAGATCATGGTACCTAATGTAAACTGAGGTAATGCTGTTGATGTTTAGTGTGTGTTAGCTCTTACTACTTTCCGTACAAGAGTTAAGTCTTAACTTCTCCAGAACTGGTATATGGAATTTGTATCATTTTTATGTCTCAGTTATTTATTTTGAAATACAGCTTTAATCAAATAAAGGCTTTTTGATTTTGAAATGAACAAAATACTCATTGAGAGCAGAAAATGGAAAATGTTTCTGGAAGAATCTGATTTTTTGATTATTTCAGTTCCTTCTTGCAGGTGAAATCAGCTAACTTTGGAGAAAGAGCAAGGGGTATTTTAACCAGTTTGCTCTTTTTTTTTCCTTTATTTTATGTTGTTTAGTCATTAGAGTGCTATTCTGTCTCCTGTTAAGAACAGGAATACCTTACCATTATGGAAATAATAGAAATCAGAATGCCTTCAGTACTTTAAAAAAAACCATAAGAACTTGGAAAGAAAAGAAATATACCATTTTCTCTGGAATTAAGCGTTCTCTGGCGTGTCAAATATATTTACCCCCACAGTAAAAATAACTGACAAATGGGAGGGAACTGGGATTTTTGGCCAACTTTCAGCGCGATTGTTTATTTCTTACTGTGGGATCACTAGCTTTGACTAAAGGAGACTGCCTTCAAGTGCTTCATTTTCTTACCTCTTAATTAGAGGCTTCTTTACTAGTATAGAAAAGGTAGCTTGATTAATACTTAATTGAAAACCAATTTAAGAGGACTTTTGTTTTAAATCAGTAAGGTAAGCTGTTGGAAGCTTTTGCTCTCTTGTTAGCCCGATCATGTAATACGGCTCTTCTGGATATCTGAACCAGGGATCATTGCCAATTCTTAAAGAAACAAGAAGGCATGAATTTAATTGGCCTCCTCAGTAGGAACGGGGCTGGGACTTACAAACAAGAAAGCAGCTTGTCAACCTTGGTGTTTGAGTCCTGATGTTAAAAATAGACCTAGCATGTGTCGACCTTTATAGTAGACATAATATTGGGCATAATTAGACCATATTAGACATCGTACAATGTCCTTTCTCATGGCAGGGGGGTTGGAACTATATGATCTTAAAGGTCTCTTCCAACCCAAACCATTCTATGCTGTTAAGAATAGCATTACTCTGTTGTGCGTTCAGAAATGTGAAAATCACTACTGGAAACTAAGGCCTCTGTTTCTCATAAGCCATTAAAAAGTATTTTTGTTGCCCTCATCTGAGAAAGTAAAAGTAAGCAGAACCTATCTTGATCTACCTTATTTTCAGAAGGAAGCTAACTGAGGATATTGTTTCAGGAGTATCCTACAGAAAATAGTTTTACCCTAGATTTCCATGGTACATTTAGTGGCTCCTGACTACAAGAGTGATTTCTGTAGAGTCAGTCTTTCCTAAGCACAAATAGTCTCTTTTCAGACAGATTATGTATCTCACAGTGTTACCAAAAGCTGCCTTGTGGAATACAGTCAATGTTAAAAGTCTGTTACAATCAATATAATAACTAATTTTATGTTAATTAAAAAAACCTACAACCTAAGAATGCTTTAGTTACATAGGCTTAATAACAAACAACATTCTGTATTTTGGTCTTTGCGGTAGATTCACCAAGTTCTTAAGCCGGATGGAGTATTCATTGGTGCAATGTTTGGAGGAGACACTCTATATGAGCTTCGTTGCTCTTTGCAGCTAGCAGAGCTGGAAAGAGAAGGAGGATTTTCTCCTCACGTATCACCGTTCACTGCTGTCTCTGATTTGGGACATCTGCTGTCGAGAGCCGGCTTTAACACACTGACTGTGGTAATTATAAATGAGAGCTGCTATTTACTAATGTCTTAGTAATGTACTGCTTCCTTCTCCATGTCACGCACCTTGCTCAATAAGTCTCTGAAATAGCCCGAACTGCCTCTGTTCTCAGCTTCACCATGATTAATGAAACCAACTGAAGTGGATCATTGGCTAGTGGCCCAGTAGAATTTGGATGATGATCTTGGAGAAATGTCAGTGAATGTTAGACCTGCCTGAAAAGCCTTTGGGCACTTCTGCTGTTTCCTCTAAAACCAAGAAGAAAATAATGGCATTTCAATTAAAAAATTGATTGCATTTGGGCTACTGAACAACTTTTAGAAATGTTAAGACGGTGTATTCTTCTGAGAAATACATGGTTTGAGCAGAAGTGGCAGATAGCAGCACTGAAGGGTAACATAATGCAACTGTTTTAGCTTGATATGCTCTAAAACTAAGCTTCTCAATTCTTTTAGGATACTGATGAAATTCAGGTCAACTACCCAGGGTTGTTTGAAGTTATGGAAGACTTGCAAGGCAAGTATGTTCTTTGTGAAAACAAAAATGTTTTCTTTACTGGTGAGGCAGACACAGAAGAGTTTCACTATGTGTTTTAAGTCCAAATCATAGAATAGATCCTCTAAATAAAGTCATCTGTTTAGATGACCTTTAAAGGTCATCTAGTCTTCCACCCCCTGCCGTGAGCAGGAACACCTTCAACTAGGTCAGGTTGCTCAGAGCCCTGTCCAACCTGACCCTGAACACTGTCAGGGATGGGGCATCCACAGCTTCTCTGGGCAACTTGTGCCAGTGTTTCACCACCCTCATCATAAGAAACTTCTTCCTTAAAAAAATATAACTAAATATTAAATAAAGCTTATTGTTACAGTGAAAATATTACTTTTTTTTCCCCAATCTCCAGTGAGTCAGGATCATCCCTATCAGCGGATCTGTGTTGGGAAGCAGAAGTTAAAAGATCTGCTACTTCATGGTCTGCTATGAATTTTCTGCTTCTATTGTATTCCCATTCTTTGAGAGCCTGTTCAGTGTAAGTTGCTGAAGAGCCCTGCAAGGGAGACAGAAGTATATATCCCACATACCACTTTTCCTATGAGCCTTCCTAATTATCAGGACATTCAGGAAAGTGCTCTGGAATGAGAATAGATAGACCCTCAAATTGGAGTCTGCTGACGAACAAAAATTGAGATGCTTAACAATTGAGTTACTTTTGTGATTGCATTTGTCATGGTTTGTAAAGTAGTCATTCATATGCAGTTAGTTGTTAACTTCCAGGACAGCTTAGGGTATCTTCTTCCTCTAGATCAGCTGCTCTTTAGAATAGTTCCTTAATGAAAATAAAACTTCCATTCTCTTCAGAAACATTCAGATGCAGGAAGTGATTAAAGAGATGAGAATTATGGTTATTTCGTTTTTATTGAAAATCTTATGGCCTGGCAGTTTTGATGCTTATCTGTTAAAAGGTGTGTAGGTGGTGTCTGAATAAACACTTGTGCTTAAAAATTAAAATATACTAGAATATATACATTTATGCTAGAAAACTGTAGAAAACCTATGACTGTAGACTTGGGCTGGAGAAGTCATAATCTGGAATAGCACTGGCATTGAAAGGTTTGGATTCTTATAGGTAAGAAACTAACCTAATTATTTGCAGTATGTTCTCTCTTATAGTGATATTCAGAGGATTCTATACTTATTCTGGTTTAGTATAAGTCTGTCATAGGTGCATGACACTTAACTCATGGCATATACTGTATCTTCTTTTTCTTAAAGCTAACACATATTTTTAGGTATGGGGGAGAGTAATTGCTCTTGGAATAGGAAACCTCTGCTACACAGGGACACAATGTTAGCAGCTGCTGCAATATACCAAGGTAAGTATTTTGAGACATAATAAATTACTGAAATTACTTTAAGAACATATTTTTCTGACCTCTCTGTAGGGGGAGAAAAAAGGCAACAGCATTTTGGAGTAGAGCAAAATGCCATAATTGTACAGGTATTTTTAACCTAAAATATCATGACAGGATTTGAACTATGGGGTGCACCAGTATGAGATATTTTTATTGTCCCAAATCTTTCACCGAGAGTCATTATGATGAATATGTCATACTTGGCTCTAATGTTCTGAGAACTAAGGATTTCGTAGAACTAATACTCTGTTTCCCTTTTTTTAACTCCCTCCTTTCCTGCCCTAACAGAAATGTACGGAAATAGTGATGGCTCAGTACCTGCCACGTTTCAGATCTTCTACATGATTGGCTGGAAATTCCATGAATCACAGGTAATGTGATGCTGATCTATTCTTTACTTGAAGGTACTTTTTAAATTACTGATGCTTTAAAAGCTTTTTGTAAGACATTTTAACTTAAAATCGGCCCTATTTTTTTTTTCTTCTTTTTTCCTTAGGCAAAACCAGCCAAGAGAGGTTCTGCAACAGTTTCATTTGGAGATCTGTCAAAGTTAGGTGGATTTGTATCAAGAGAAAAAAAATGATTTTCATCAGAAATAATAGTTGTCTTGAAGCTGCTATAAAACTTCTCATTGCAGATAGTCTTCACTTGAGCTTATTTTGTGACAACATTCTGAACTGATGATTATCTGCACACAGCAGGAGTTTTTTGTTTTGTACTACCTATGCTACAACATCAGCTGTGTAAAATTATGTTAATTTCTTGTTTCTAGAGAAATATTTGAGCAGTATTCAAAGAATAAATGCTCTCCTGACTTTGGATTAAATTACTGTTCTCAAATGTAATGCCTCTTCCAGCATTTCAGTATCACAGACTGCGCCAGGTATGATGTATTTCACCCTGGGTGTTTTTAATTATTCCTAAAAGATGGTAGATCATAATAAAGAGTTGTACTTACAAGACATTCTGTAAGAGAAAATACCTGCAAATACACAAAAAAAAATTTAATAAGGCCTTTACGAGTTGGAAATTATGGGTTAAAAGTTACTATCAGTTATTGTTTGAAATTTGAATGTTTGAGTTCTGTATAAGGAAGTGGTTAAGTAAGCTCTATATGATAAAAATATCTTCGGTTGCTACACCTCACCTATGGTCCTCAAATCCAGGACCTTTTCTTTTTGCCCCCAAAGCTAGAAATGTTTCTGTGCATGAAGAGTAGAGCTCAGCCGTAAAGAAACTTGGAATACTCCATTCTAGCTCTAACAGAATGTACATATCGTGATTTGACTTAATTTACTGGAAGGAGTAGCACGCAGAAGAGTCATCCAGCACTCAGATGGACGGGTACCTATCACATTAGTTAACCAGCTTGGAATTGGCATTCTCAGGAGTTGATATGCTTTTTGGAGTTCCATGGCTTTTTTTTTTTGCCTATTCTTTTATCTCATAGTGTTTGAAAAATTAAGTGATATTTTAAATGTTAGTTTCAAATTCCATTTACGCATTACTTTCTGCTTTTCTACTATCAGAGGCTGAAAAGCATAAAGTATACTTCTTGTTTTCTCCTTAGCTGTGACATTTGTGAGCTATGACTTTCCCCGTATATAACTGCATTCCCAGAAATTGATATGAGTTACAAATATGGCCCATTAACCTGAGGTGTTCAGAAAACAATACCCAGGGATTTCACCTGATTGTAGTACAAACAGAGAATGTTAGAAAGAAAAAGCATGGAAAATAGATAATCAGGTATGCTGTTCAGTCAGTTTTATCATTGCGTCTAGGTGTTGCATCAAGCCTGGTGAAACCAAAGCTTCTGTAGGCTTGCTTTAAGATTATCCAGCAGGTGGAGTTTGACAGAATGATGGGGCACAGACCAGATAGGAAAGGTAGGCAGAAGCCTTCGTGTTCTGTCAAGGGTTATTGAATTATAATTCAAAGACTAGTACAGATGCTAAAGTTACCTCTTGCTGCTTAACCAGTGTTCAGTTTTCAAAATACAGAAATGCTGTTTAAAAGCAAACCATTTATGCACTACTCAGCTGGTTAGAAAATCAATTTGTGGGTTTATTTTATCAGTCTGTCTGTTTTGACTTGAAGTTAGAAATGGGCAAAGAAAGGACAAAACATCCTAAAGAGGGTAGGAATATTCTGCCCTGGTTTTACTTATAAGCTGATCCTGTAATTATTCAAGGGGATCAAGTTCATCTTGCGTTTTCCTTCGAAAAGAGTGGAAAAAGGGGGAGAGGCTGAAAGTGGTCTGATAAACTTTGCAACCCTTTTTCTTAAGACTAACTCTAACCCAATACATCAGTTGTCTTATTACAAGATACTGCATTTCTCTGCATTTAAATAAAAGTCACTTACTTCAGGGAGGAGCTCTCCGGTTTCTCACATGTAGGTTCTGATGAAGTTGCATGTCAAATTACTGTGACTTATGCATTTTTGCCGTAGTAGGTTAATTTCCAGTCACCTGAGCTGCTGGTCATGACTCAGACACATTAAGGGGATGGTGAGGTGGAATGTGCTGAGTAAATGTTAATTGTCAAAGTGCATCTACTGTACTTCTTTGAAGGACTCTAAGAGACAAAAGGAAGGATTTCCAGTTCTTTGATTCCATGTTCCACAGATGGAATACGTAAACAGTAAAGTAAGTGAGAATGTGGTTTGCTAATGGGGAAATGTACCTTGTCAACAGGGAGAAGTAAAATAGTTTTCCTAGCACTCAGGAGGAGGAGGGGGGAAATTTAGGTGCTCCATTCACTTGGAAATGGCTGGGGAGTAGAAGTGAGGAGAAATAAATACGGTATTGAGGCAGTGTTGGTTGAAATTAGGGGGCATGTAACTGGCAGGTCAGGTGTTCATTTCCCTGGCTGACTACATTTTCATAACTGCCTTATATGTGTGTCTTTTAGCTGCAGGTATTTTTTTCTTCCTGTGGTATTTCTTCTGGGAATTCTAGGTTACTCTGATCTCCAGTAGACTCTTTCTTTGTATAGCACTTGAGTGAATAGCTTTGAAAACGGTTTACTATTGAACAGATGTTTTTGTCACATAAGACTGTTATATTTTATTTCTCTCTTTCAGATTTAAGTCTTTATGACTTTCTAAAATTATAATGAAGAACGTGTTTGCCAGTTACTAATCTAGAAAACCAGTTTAAACCCTGAAGTGCATGTTAAAAATCAGCTTTTTCAGAGTAAGTAACTTCTAAAAAGTAGTTGCTAAGGTGACATAACATCTCTTGCAAGCTTAGTTTTAAAAATCTTTATGCATAATATAGAATGTTTTTCTTCTGATTACAAAAGAATGGAAAAAAATTTTGAAAGAATTATTTTGACTAATCAAAAATTAGGAGCCCATATTTAAAGTTTAAAAGAAATATGTTTACACTTAATAGACATTACGATTTTTGATCCTTCAAAAAGGTTCTGAGTCTCAGATCAATGAGTATGCTTCTTCAGTGTCTTTGATTGCAAGATCTGTCAATGAATATTATTATGCAAGTCTGCTTAGGATATAGGGATAGTAACGAGGCCCTACACTTTGGAACCCAAGCGTTAGATTTTGCAGACCTTACGCTTTCAAAAGGCTGAGAATATGTGAAGTTAAAACATGGGAAAAGCTTTTTGATTACCTCTAATTTATAAAAATGTCATCAGCAGAAGTGCAGAAGTGAACCATAGCAAATGAAATTAAACTTTTTTACCCTGCCTAGAAAAAGAAATAGCCACTTCTTTTCAGTGTTTTCTAGAAGAGTGGCCTAAATTTTGTCAGTTGAGAAACACACCAATCTTTCAATGGTGTTCAATTAGAATTTCCTGATGCAAAGGTCTGATTTAGTGGATTAAATTCATTAGAGCACAAGAAGCCACATTAAGAAAGTTAGCATATATATTGAACCTCTTGAATTTTTCACTTCTCTAATCCAAGAACTTAATATTCACTTTACAAAGGTGTGATCTATTTTGGTGCAGGTTTGGAGCTGATTTTGGGGGGAGTACAGTTATTGTAGTAGTTTGATTGGGTTAGGAGTACTGAAACAAATGTCTCAGGTATCAATCAAGTTGATTGATCTCCTGATCTTAGGTGCTCTCAGGTGAAGGAGAAGGAAAAAGAGAAGAAAAACCTGAAACACTGAAGTTTCAGCCAGAGGCTGCTTATCAGTGTGAAGTAGAAAGCATGGAAGAGAGTGGATGTGCTTGTTGCAGGGGAAAATGACTTATGGCTGAAGTCATTTTGTTGATTTGTTAGTAGTTTGTAATTAAATGTTAGTCCTTGAACTATGCATACACAATCAATGGCAGCAGTGTAACAGATGGGTGACTGGACTAGAGCTTTACAAAACCTTAGTAAACAGCTTGAGATATCTAAATACCCTTCTGTAGCAATCTCCTGCAAGTTTGCGGTTACGTGCTCACCTCTGTCCCTTTAACAGGAGGTTTGGGTTAAAGAGCCAAACCCTGTTAACGTCCATCTTCTTTGGAGGTGGGGACACTGTAAACTGTGCTGTTACTCTACACTCCAGTAACCCGCCCTCCTGCTGGCATAGCAGCCCACAAGGTGAGGTGCAAAAACACCCCAGGAGCCGGCAGTGCTGGTTGTACCCTGCCTGTACTGTGGGCCCAGGGCAGGCATGCAGGGTCCTCCCTCAAGCCTCTGCATAGCCTGCAATGCAGGCGGGCATCTTCTTGGCGGCAGACCAGATTTTGACTGCTTCTCTCTTCTCCCTGCTGGAAATGTTACTGCTTTTTATGCTTGATTTTAAGCTGACTTCCTTCCCCCCACAGGTCTCTTGGTAACTGCCTGGTTACTGTTTAATGTAGCTGATGATTGTCTTCATTTTCAGCCTTACCAGATTTTGAGCAAATGCCCTCTGAGTTTTGGGTATTCTGTTCACAAACATTTCATTAGCTGTTAGCAGCCAATGTCCAGGCTTTATTTTTCTGCCAAGAGAAGGCTATGCGAATTTCCCCCACAATTTGAAGCTGTTCCTTTGGGTACAAAGTACATTGATAAAGTAAGAGACAAAGTCCTTCTCAGAAATAATGTTTCTGTTTGAAACTTTATGTTGGAGGAGTGATGACAAATACTGGGGAATCCTACTTGTCCTCAAAGTGTTCATTATAGGCCAGAATGTATCACAGTAAAGCAGTTTTCTAATGGTAATCCATGAAATAAAGAGGCCCCGCTTTTCCAGCACTAATGAACCCAAATTAATGCATTTTTCTTCCTGCATTTTGTAGGGATTCCTTATGCTTTGTAGAAGTGCAACTTAAAGTTGGGATCTGCACATGCATTGTGCGACTTCTCATCATTGACTTGTTCTTTAAATACTGCACCCAGAGTTTGTGTGAGAACATGAAGAAAATGAGGAATAAAACTACCTTTGTGAATAAATGTGTTTACCACGAAGAATTCCATATTTCTGATCAAATTCCTGTTTTCATGGATAGCAAAACTACAAGAACAGAAGTGCATTGGATACACATAATACCACCTTTTTTACCTAGTGAACAACCTAAAAAGTGTCTGGTTTAGCATGTGTTAATTCAAGTGGTTTGAAGCTCTACTCTTGAACTTCTAAGGTGAAGTACCCCAATATTAAAAAATTACTTACTCTGTGGAAATACAGTCCAAAACAAAGAATTTACTAAGGGAATCTTAACAGGTAACAGGTTAAATAAGTAGTAACTTCAAATTTTTGTTGATCCTGGAATTGCTGTATGCTGTTTTCTCCCTGAAGAGAGCCACTGACTGATGGATGTGATGCCCCTCCTTTAGCTCTTGATCATCTCATCTCTACAAAGTATATACTGTTTTAGCACCTAAATGGCAGGAGCATCCATTCTTACCAAAAGCTACGGGTTTCCCACTTCTTTTCTACTATATGTTCTATTTTTTCTGTTTGTGAAGATTTATTAAGTGCTAGAATTATTCTCCGCTTTAATTTGAATTTACTCACAATTGGTATGTGACTTCTAATGATACTCCCTAATACCAGCATTGCTTTCACTTTTGTAATTAAAAATGTAATTCCCATAAAGCGCCACTTTAAATTTGATTTTATTCTTGACTTAACAGCAGAATGCCCAACCAACCTTAGAGCAGTATTGCTGTTCAAGGCAACGACTAGAGCGAGATTTAGTTGGTAAATTGATGTTGAATTTCATAGATAGCCAGGTTTAAAATATAAACCTGTCATGATTTAAGTCCAGCTGGTAACTCAGAACCATGCAGATGCTCCCTCACTCCCCCCTTTCTCCCCCTGCTCCCAGGGGGATGGGGAGAATTGGAAGAATTTAACTCCCATGGGTTGAGATAAGAACAGCCCAGTAACTAAGGTATAACACAAATCACTACAGCTACCACCAATAATAATAATGATAAGGGAAATAACAAGGGAAGAGAATACAACTGCTAACCACCTGCTGACCGATACCCAGCCCGACAGAGCAGTGTCAAAGTCAAAAACAGCACTGCACCAGCTACTAAGAATGAGCAAAATGACTGCTACTGCTGAACCCAGGACAAAACCAAAGTCATAATTTAGTTTCCATGTAATGTGAATTTGCGTAGCATCCTATTCGTGCCTGATTTTCTTTCCTGTACATTTCTTTAGTTGCCTATAGTTATTTCTGGAATTCCGAAAAATAGCAGAGACATAGCTGCTGCCCAAGGGGTTTTGTTAGTCACACCTCCAACAAAGCATTCCTTAGGTGATTTTGCCTGCAGGACTCAACTTAGAAGATGTTCTCAGGAAGAGCTGTTGTGCTGTCACAGCACTGTTCAGTCAACAGACATAGAGCTCTTTTTTGGTGCTTGGGTGATTGATCTTCGATTCCCACCTTCCACAAAACAAACTAAACTGTTGTTTTATTTAGACATGAGCTTTCCAAATAGTTGCTTAGAATTTGTGTGTGTGTGTTTTTGTCTTCTGCCTCAGTGAATCTTTATTGAATGGAAAGTGGAACTTTGAACATGAATGGATTGGGTGATTGTATCTGTATTCGGGATATTTTACAGCATGGTGGCTGGTACTTTTTGGTAGCTAGGGATTAATTATCCCTTACTCAGAAGATATCATTTAATGGATAGCTTCTATAACTCTCTGGTTAGCTATCTCAAAAATACGGAATTAAAAGTTAATAGTATGGTTATTTATACGCCTCTGAGATGTTTGGAGTAGACTTTTAGTTTTTACTTAGAGGAAAGGTTTCAGGTTTATGAACCCAAAGGCTTCGTAAGTGCAGGGAAGTTTTACTGTAGAGAGTCTGTATATCTTCACAAAGTTACCTTGTGTCTGCACTGGTTTCTGGTATTTTCTACCGGGCAGCTTGGCTTTGTTAGACTGGGTTTCTAGATCTCTGAACAGTCACACAGAGACTGGGCATCATTTCAGAGATCTTGAGCATGGAAGTCAGAGTCCCTTAGCTGTAAAAGGATCTCAGTTGGATGTTAGAGTGCTGATTACTGCAGCATACAAATGGTCTGTACATCTATCTTTTCATGTTCTACTTTTGGATAACATGCTCCATTTAACTGTATTGCAAATATTATTTGTTTTCAAGCAGTTAACCATCTTGAAAAACACAGCAACATGACCTAGTAAGTATAACACTTGAAATGAGTTTACAAATGAATCTTGGCATAAGGAAAATGTATTTTAACAATGTGGTTTGTATGCCTGCTCCCTGCGTATTTATTTTCACCCTCCAGTTGATTAGCTGCTTTGTCTTGTGTAGAGAAATGGCCTGTTTAATGCAGTGGGAAGTTGAGTAGCGTTTGTTAATGGATGCTTAGAACAGGCCCAGTCAGACATTTTAAATTATTCTAACTAAGCAGTAATTCTAATTTATTTCTAAAGATAGAAGTCTAACAGCCCAATTACCTAGTTTCCTCACAGACTGTAATGAGTACAGTTAGCATAAAATTGGTCTGTAAATTTAATGGGCAGTTTCTTGTCGTGTGGACATTGAAAACACTAGCAGAAATGTGACAAGCTGTGTTAGAGCCCGTACAGTAACTTGCTCCCATTGGATGCTGCCTTGACAAAATGCATTACTGTAAAATATGAATTCAATCTGTTCAGTAGAAGGAGATTTTGAAGTGTTGGCTCAAACAGGGATGATGATAGAGTTTAAAGTTCCTTCAAGAAAGAATCTGCTTTTTTTTGCCTGAGTTAGCAGTAGGGTTTTGTCCTTTTTAGACATGGTATTATGACTATATTGTAATGTATGTCAGGATATGGGTCGTATCGGGCCAGTTCTCTACGTGCAGCCTCATAAGTATAGTTGGATCAGTTTTTCTCAATGTAGTATATACATTAAATAAAGATTATACACATACATAATAAAGATTATACACATACATGATAAAGATTAAAAAAACATTTTAATATCCTACTTAGAAGAGAAAGGGATGCCAAGTCCTACAGCCGATAGATTCTCAAACCATGATTCAGGCAGCTGCTGCTGCGCAGTTGCTAGTAATACAGTTCATTGGATGTAACCAGGTGTGGGGCACTGGAGAATTTCTAGCTGATAGAATCCAAAAGACGTTTTTGCCCTTCTTTCTACAGCTGAATTGTTTGATGTGAAATTCTCTTTGTGACTGTTTTTTAGGCAGTACAGTAAAGAAAACTGAGAAAGACCTAGCTAAGTTGCAGTGACCTCCCCAAGACTGAAGTGGTAAAAATTATGGGCTATGAGAACACATACGTAGTGTTTCATGAAGTTTCTTCTACTTTGCCTGTTCCCTAGAGGGTGAATAAACAAACAAAAAAGCCTGAGGCTTGAAGATGAGAAACAAGTATTTTGAAGTATGTTTTTGTGATGGACTCTTTCACCTTTCCTACACAAGCAGGCATTAGTGGAAAAAGATGAATGTGAAAGATTTCTCTGTTGGAGGGTTCTCGATCATGGAAATGCTTTAATTACTTAAACAGTGAATCCATTTAAAATGTACTCCTATTGCATCAGTCTGTTAAGTAGAACGGATAAAATTGGAGCTGCAACTATGGAAGTAGCAAGTTAGTTCTTGTGCATTAGAACACCAGCTTAGTGTGGCGCTGACTTTGCTAAGGATTTATGCTCTACCACACTTTGTCCCACCTCATAGTTTTCCACAGCACACTTGCCTGCCTTCCTCTTCTGCTGTATAATGCTAACTGAGCAAATGGAATTGTGTGGCTGATCCTGCCTGTGTGGGATTGTCAAACAAAACAAGCAGTGTGTTCAGTTTACTTGTTTGTAGGTCCATTAAAAGATGTATCTTTACATTTCTAGGATTTAACTCAGGGCAATGTAAAATACTTTATTAAAATGTATTAATTGCATACATTATAGAAAGAAATATCTTTCAGTTTCATAAGTATGTAATGTTGGATATGTGTACTGGTCCCAGATTAACAATCGCATTCCTCATTGGACTCAATTTATTTTGTGTGTCTTCTAACTTTAGCTTATTTAAGAAATAGTATATAGAGCGGGTATCAAAGTTTTTTAAAGTGTATTTTTTTAGTCCCTGAACTCAGTGTGAACCCCTCAGCAAGAGGAGAAAAGCATGAGGCAGACCATTGCTGGCCTCCATCAGACTGAGCTGTACTCTTCTAAAGTAGAAATTCTTACGCAGACAAGTGTACTCAGGTCTTTTGTTCAGAGACAGTGACCGAAAAGGTAGGTCAGAGTTTTAAATGCATCTCTTTAGAGGGTATTCATACCCAGAGTGCATCTCTCTTCAGTAGTAGCTAAACAGTAAAAATCTTAAAGTGGAAATTAAAGTATGTATTCCTTCTGTAAAATGCTTTGGGACTGACTAAATAGATGCAAGCACAAAGCAAAGCCCAGTTTCCCCATGAAGTTTCTAAAACTGGACATACGGGTAAGTTTGGAAGCTGGCTGCAAGGTCAGGTAAGTAAAGCAACATTATAGTTTGGAAGAATATTTCTGCTGCAGTCCAATACTTGATTTTTTTTCCTCTTCTATAATTTCTTTTTAGCTCAGGTTTTCACCATCCATTGGAAGTAGAACACTTGTGCTCTGTAATGAGTGTAAATATCTGTTGAAATAGCACTTGCACAACACAGATGTGTGCTGAATATGTTTTCCACTAGCTTTCTGTTGCGTAACAGAGAAATTGGAACTAAAGGGGGGAAAGTAATTAAATCCCATACACAAACTTCTAAGTGGAAATGAGAATAGAATGTTAAGGAGATACTGCTTAAGAAAGATGCTTGAGCGTTGCAATGATGAGAACAGTAAATAATCTATGCTTGTACATCTTTCTTAGGTCAGAGCTTTTCTGTAGAGTCTTTCTCACGGTTTTTGGGTTGCGCACAAGTTACAGCTCAAGATTTGCAGTGCAAACCCTGGCACACTGCAGCACATGTGTGCAGTAGTCAGTGTTCAGAATAGGGACCTACGGTGACCCCCATCAGCCACTCATTGGAAGTCCTACATCAATCTGATCTTAGTGTTTTCCTAGCAATCATATTTTCAGCTGTGTTCTTGTGGAACAGACTTCCTAAGCATACTTCATTTAAAAAGTAATTTAAACTTCAGTACAGTGGCATTAACTGACAATATTTTTATTAATGGTACACATGAGTAGAAAATAATTGAACAGTAATGAGGACATTAATATCAGTATTGTGAGCCATATACAGTTTATATTTTAGTAGAGCATGTATCTTCCATCTTTTATAATGTACTTTGCAGAAATATAGAATGTGATTATGCTTTTTTAGTGTGTAGACTTGCAGTTATTGTTGCATTAAGTTGTTTTGCAGCTTGTCCTGCTATGTTTAATACAGCTGACTATATTACTATTTAAATTTTTTCTCAAAAGGCATAAAAAGCACAATTGTTTATAAAACAAAGTATGAAAATCTCTGTTTTGCTGTATTTTACTCAATGGTGCAGTATAAATTTGCTGCAGGAGAATGAAGCTTATGATGGAAGAGTAATGTAACTTCTGCACAGCTATAGTAGATGAGTATGTCTGATAAGTGTCAAGATCTGCCTCTTTAACCAAGGACTCAAGAAGGAAGCTAAGGGAAGAAAGGTGGCTCACAACTTGTATATTAAAGCTCACATTTAAAACTAGTGACAAAGATTTAAAAGTATTATCAACTCAAGGTTAAAATACAAGTAAAAAGTCCTATCTTTCCTTAACCTTATTTAATAATTTAGGTTTCCCTATGTATTTTTTCATTTCACCTTTTCATGCCCTGCTTTCCCTTTATATACTGTAGACAACTCTTGGCTAGTTTTTAATTTTCAAGCTGTGTTTCTTGGAGGTACTTGATAATAAATCACAACAGTGTGTTTCTTTCCATTTACTGCATGAAAGAGGGCACATCATTTCTGAGTTGAATGATAAGTCAGGTTGCCACAAATGCTTTGGCATAAGACCTTGACATTCATTCCTTCTCCACAGGTATTTATGTCAGGGAAACTCATTTATTTGAACACTCATGGAAAGTAAATACAAGAAGTGTCCCAGTATGACTAAGGCAAATTCACTGGAAAATAGAAGAAGAAAAAAGGTACAAAGGGAAGATGTGTGACTACAGAACTAGAATGTGGTTAGTCATTGTAACCTTGTGGCTGGATTGTTCTCAGGTATTTTTATTACTTACACAGAAATCAGTTGCACAGTTGCATGTATAATCTGACAGTGGGTCACACGTGAACCTGGCTGGAACAGGTTTGGAACTCTGGTCTCCAGATTACCGAGTTAGAGTCATAGGATGGTTTGGGTTGGAAAGGACCTTAAGATCGTTTAGTTGCAACCCCCTGCCATGGGCAATATGTGTTTTCCTTTGCTGCATGAAATTGTTGTGGTGTTTTAAAGCTTGTGATGATTACAATATTCTACTCTGAAAGGGATTAAAAGCTATAGCTACAGTGAAGCTGGCATTTATGGTCAGTATATAAAGAATGTCGTTGTTCTAAGCAGTCCCAGGTAGTTACAGGGCTGGAAGTTCCAGTGTAAGACAGCAGGCTCCTGATGAGTGTGCCTCTGCAAAGGAAGAGCAGGAGGCACAAAGAATTCAGCAATAGGTCTTACTCATAGTTTCTGTTTGCCCTTTGTTACTCAAGCCCTGAAGTGCAAAGCTGGCAGAGTGGTTTAGAAGTTGCTGCTATCTTCCCCCCCTGCAGATGGAATGAAAGCTGTCCAGGGCGGCTTATTTGTTACAGTTGTGTATTCAGTTTGAAAGCAGAAGGACTTCTAAGGGCAAAGCCTTTGTTTTGTGACTTGACTCAAGGTAGCATTTGCTCTTCCTCTTGTCACCAAAAATGAAAGTACTACGAAACTAGTAGTGTTTGCAGCTATGCAAGGGAAGCTGTATTGCCTTCATGGGATTGCCTATGTGTAACTACTTAAAACTCGTGGTGGGTGCGGAAATAAAAGTGGGTGGAACCCCATCTCATTTATCATAGTTACATTAGCTCCACAAGACTAGCTGGAGTGGGGAATCAGAGAATTTCCTTTCATCACAGAATGGTAGGTAGACCCAGAATTCTATAAATGGTACCCAGGGCATGACTCTGAATTCGTATTTTGGGGGATTATAGTTGTGTTTTAAAGTTACTTTTCCGTTCTTGCAGACAGGTCTTAGAGGTGGACTAATATAAACTGTGAGGGGACAGATGGTTGAGACACACTAAAGGTGTGTCAATTTTCCCCATGCTCCCAGAGGAAGGTAACTATTCTAGATTTTACTTTGTTGATGGCACAGGGGCTATTCTGAAACCATCCAATCCCCTCTTGGCTCAATTTATTTATTACTGACTCTACAGGGATTAGCTCATTCCTTAGGGAAATGCTAAGTGAGAATTGTCAAAGGGAGAGGGTAGTCCATGGAGCACCAGAGAACCAAAGAGCCAAAAGACTGGCACAACTGACTTTCCTTATGGCATGTATTTCTCTGTGTACCTGCCTGTTGTAGCCACTTCATCCTCCCCTTTTAATTTTCTCTCATTTGGGAGCTTGTAAAAATTCACAATATCAATTGCTGCTTCTTTCCTTTGTTAATTTTATGTATGTTCAGCTTCACCGTGGTCCCATCGTACTCATAGACGGACCTAAACCACATTCATTGATGCATACCAAATTGAATGTGGGTTGAGTCCTGCTGTGATGAGCTATAATCTAATCTGTTCTGCAAATATAGGAGTGATAATTGCTGATTTCAAATTTAGAAAGTATTTCTGAGGAAAAAAGTTTTAAACTATTTTTTCTGCAGAACTTCCCAAAGTTTTCTTCCTTTTATCTGGTGATAAAATGAAGGTACATAAAGAATGACACGTTCTGTGATAAGAATCCTACGATTTGTAGTCAATAGAAGAGACATGAAGAAAGAAAAAACATCTTAACATAAAATCTATAGAGGTTATTCCAAACAGAAGGTTATTATTGGATAAATGTGTCAAAGTACTGACAGTGAACACTATGAAAAGGACTCAGAAGCAGGGTATTTGGAGTGGAGAACTCAGACAGCACCACAGGCTAAACTGAAGCCTGAGATGTCAGTTTAGGTGAGAGCTGCAGAGCTCTGAAGCTGAAAATGAAAAGCCTGAAGATGCAAAAGATAAAGGAATGACAAAACCAGGTGCCAAGGGCAGGGGGTCTTTAGCAGCTGAATTCCCAAGAAACCAAAGAACACAGGGGGGACAAGCAGGAAAAGGGGTAATGTCAAATGTATAGACTATGGCTTCAGGATCAGAGAGAGTGGGAAAAGGATTCAGGGAGCAACGTGAAAGGCAAGCAGATAGGATTTAGCAATAGCTTAGCTGAAGGAAAAATAGGTTTGAGTGTTCTGGTGATGGAAGAAAATAAGTTTGACAAAAGGGAGAGAGATCTAACAAACTTGAAACATTTTTTTGTTGTTGTTAGCTGGAGGTGACAAGGCACATGTTTGATTCTACTGCTAAAAATGGGAGCTGGGAGTACAGCCAGGAGAGATTTAGATCACTCAAAGGCAAAAATGACTTCTGGAAATGCTGAGAATAGGTGATGTCTTTTAGGTGAAATAGTCATAGCACACCAAAAGAGCTCCTCTCAAGGCTCTGCAGGGAGAGGAAACTCATCTTAGTCAGTTTAGTCAATGAGATTAAGTTGGAGGAGGACGAGTTATTACTTCTTTCTTCCTTGACATGATATAGATTCATAAGTGCAATCATCAAAAAGATTAAAAAACGTTATGAAGATAAGATTTGGACTTTGTCAATGTCTTCCTAGTCGCCTGGACAAGTCAGATTTCAGGGAAGTGAATGCTGTAGATTCAAAAAGCTTAGAACTAGTCAAGCAACAGGAATTACTTTGCTATACAAAACACTGGGAAAGTTTTGGAGAGAGGTTCACAGGAACAGGTTCTGTATGAGGCTGAAAATGAGAGACGAGTCAGTGTGATGAGGGCTGTAGGGTAACTCCACTCTATGTGAGATTCAGGGTAAGCTCAGTATTTCTCAGCATTGTGAACGAGGTTGAGTTTTGATGCCCAAGAGCTGAGGGGACAATAAATTTCCTCTCCTAGAGAGGATGAAAAGTGACTTCTGTGGCTGCTTGTACCTGCCTGAGAGAGAGCAAGTCTGCAGCCATTGTAGACAAGAAGTCAGACAGTACCATGGCAACTGCTATGAGAGTCTGTCTCTTGTTGCCTTCTTATGTTAGGTTTTTTCTATCCCGTTGGTCTGAAAGGTTATTTTCTTTTCTTCCACACCTCTTGTAATTGATTGCTTTGCTAAAAATATAATAAAAATGAGAAACTTGACATGCAAATTGTTAAGACAAAAGTAAGAACACACAGAGGGATTAAATACTTGGGAAGGCATCAGGAGCAAAACTGGTTTAAATGGGCAGATGAGAAGGCATGTTTCTGTCTTCCATGTAGATATTTCACTATCTAGAAGAAGAATTTAGGCCCAGGAGTAGGAGTTGTTATTACAGATTGATTTAAAGATACAGGTGAAGAAGTACTGAAGGATTATCTGTCTGCTTCATATGTTGGCAGCTTCATATAATACAGTCCATTAGTTTTTGAAGGCCGCAGTGGAGTCATGTTTGCTTGAAAATGTCTTGGAGTTTTTCATGTTGATTGGTAAAGATTTTTGTGCCTAGGTCTTGACTGCTTCAGGGGCTTGACATCCATCTTCATGACCTTGCTGGCTTCATAGGAGCATTATTCATAACACCAAAGCAGCCTGAATGACTTCAGTAAAGGACCCCAAAGATATTTAATCCTGATCTAAGAGCTCAAATACCAAAGAACCTAGCTCAGATCTTATTTGCAATGATTAGTTATTTTCTCTTTTTAGAAAGGGGAACCTTACTTTCAGCCTTAAATGTGGACCTTCCACTGTTGAATTGATTAAGGATTGCTTCATAAGACTCTAGCCCTTCAGAGTCAAAACTTGTTCAAGAGTGGATGGAGATGAAATTATAACACACTTGGATGAAGAATCAAGTAGGTGTGTATAGAACTGTTTCTTCTTGAGATAGTTTTTAATTGAACTGCATACTGTATATTTAACAGGGAACCTCTGCCTATTTCCCTCAAATTTTATGCTTGATTTCCTTCAGTTCTTTGAGGTAACAAAATGACATTTTTTCTGCAAGATTCATTGAGCTAAAGACAACTTCTGTTTTTTTCTTTTACAGTTTTATTGGCTGTAAATATGCACACTGTACATATAATAGATAATTTCTGATGCAGAGAATATTCATGTATGATGATTACGTAAATGAGGAGTATGGTTGTACAACCCGAGGATGTGAAAACCTACTGTCTGCCCTTTGTTTTTCATGTGCTTCAGGCTTTATAGTGTATCTTATTTTGTGAACTGATGCAAGAATAAATCCTTTGATGACAGAATACCTGCAGGTCACAGTACCAAACCGAATGTGGATTGATCTCGCCAATTTGAGAAAGAAAATATGCAGTACAGAAAGTTCTTAGAGCAGCTTTCCAGTTCAAAAACACTTTGGTAAAGCTGGACAGGAAACTGTGAGTAGAACTAAGTGAGATTTTACACTTCTGCAGCACATCTGAGCTATCAGCCAGACGTTAGTGTTTTAATATGCATGACGTTTTCTATGGTTTAATGAGATCTGGAGCTATTGGCTCTGAAGATTGTTAGTACCCTGGTGAATAGCACTTCAGACTTAAGGCATACAGTGCTTCCTCTTTCAGTCTTCAACTTCTTGGATGGAATATATTGTTTCCCTAAATATAAGCAGCTGCCAAAAATCATTATATATTATAGCACTTCTTCTATATTTAACTCTGCTCATTAAGTGGATTACATGGTTTCCTTGCGTAATTAACTGCAGATCAAATATTCTATTGTAATACTATGTTAAAAACATAAGAAATGACACCTTTTCAGCAGCTTTTCTGAAATTCTTTAGGACAGGAGAGCTGCTCTGACGCTGATGTTTTCTTCCAGAAACATCTGGTCAATATAAAAACTGGATCTTTTCCTTAGAGATGTGACAGGAAAGTCAGAAATATCACAGATGAAATGTGCTCTGTTCTTTCCCACTTGAATCCCATTTAAAGAGAATTCTTTCTTTTTGCCTATTTTGTCCTTTCAGTCTCTGGGTAATAATGACTTCCTTCAGAGATTTCTGTTGGATGTGGGTTATCTGGACACCAGCAAACTTAAACATCAGTAGACCTCAGGGAACAGGAAAAATATGTAGATCTGGGTAGCAGCTTTGTATTGATTCAGTGAGGATTTGTTTTATTTGATAACAAAATAACATTTCTATTTATTTCACTAACTACTTAAATTTTATCTGTGAGAATTACTTAAAACCAGTTCTCTGGCATGTTTTAAAATTTGATCAAGACAAGCACCGTGGACCCAAACATTTCTTCATGTGAACTTGCAGAGTCCTAGATCTAAAGTGAACCCATTTAACATAAATCACATAACTAAGGTTCTTCCATTAAGACTCTCTATAGAAATGAGAGAGGGATTAGTTGTTCTAGAGATTTGATCCCCACCTAAGACCTGCATTACCCTTGACAGCACCTCTCTCCCTTTTCTGACCATAAGGCAATGCAGGGCAGCCACACTTGTGATCTAGGTGCCCCTGTTAATGCCTCAAGTAGGGGGATATAAGCTCAGTGGTCTCATAACCAAAAAGCTCAGTGTAACTTGGTCTTGGTCCTGTATCTTTGGAGTTAAGCAGTAGGCAAATATACAGCATTTCTGAGTTTGGTTCAAGTGTGATTTCAGTATAAACTGAGTGTATGTTAATAGTTATCTTAATCTGTACCTGAGACAGAGATTGCTTTGCATAATACTGCCACAAACTCCAGTTTATCTGGTTTGAAACTGAGTTATTATGTGATTTCTAAGAGTGGAATTCAGTTTCCCAGCTCTAAGGGTAACTATAGGTGAGAAGGCAGCTAGTTTACTACTGCATGTATAAGAAAACACTTCCCATTATGCATGTGTGCTGCCTCTGTTCTGCTCAGTTCTGCCCTTTACTCTTTTGTGCCTTTTTCCATCCTACATGGTGTGATGTAGTGGCAGTCAAACCATTCTGTCACCCGTCCTTGAGTCGAGCTACAGCATTTGCTCAGAATAAAGAGCAGGGATCATATTACTCTGATTTACTTGAGTAGCTGTGTCAGAGCAAGCCATTATGAAGGCCTTAATTATGGCTATTTATCAAATCAGCCTTAAAATAATACATACCTTTTTTCCAAATGCCATATTATTACCATGCCCTTTTTTGGCTGTTTTTATGAAATAATAGGAAGCTTTCTTTAAAATAAGGTGGTATTTCCACCCACCCCCAAAAGCTGAAACAGTCTTGATAATACTATACATTTTCACTTTATGTGGATTGAAAAGTAGTAAAATGCACAAAACTCGTGAGGTTCTTCATCTGTAATTTCTTACAAAAGAAAGAAGTGATTATTGCACATGCAACCCCACTCAACAGAGATTTATGATGACAAAATAGCCATAGCTTAGTGTGGGAGGTGATAAGTGACTGACTTTGAGGTCATATGAAAACAGTTACATATTTCAGCTGTAAAGACTTATCTCTAAAGAACAAGGTCAGGTTAACTCTGCTAGAACCGCACAAAGCAGCAACCTGATATGGTTGTTGCAGTGAATTGGAATGTAGGGGAGATGCATTACTTTTTGTGGAAACATGCCTTAGTGTCCATAAGGATTATCGCTTAAAATGCATTCCCTGCTCTGCCTAGCTGGTGATAGTATTTCCGAAAGTGCTCAGCAAAGTATAAAATGTAATCAATATATATATATTTATGTGTGTATGATTTATACTTATGTCTTTTTGAGAGGGCAAACCTTAGGCATAAGAAAGTACTTGCATCTTTGTTACTTTGCAAAGCCTTGCAAACTGTGCTGACCCAGTAAGTCAGGAGTTGTTCCATCTTCTTTTCTGACAGTAGGAATAGAAAGAGAAGAGACTCACCTTCTGATTCTAATTGCTTTTCCTACAGCACTGAAGTGGGAAGGAAAAGCAATCCCTTTCATTCTGTCTGGCAGCCTCAGTCCCCCTTTAGTTGGAGAACTAGAACCTACTTTGATTCCAGATTTGCAGTTTATCTTTTTGCCATATTTCTAGGGTTTATGGTTATTGCAATAGAAATTCTTGTCATTTAGATTGGAGTCTTATTATTCTGGGCACAGTGAAACGAATACAAGAACTAGCTTCCACTCCAAGAAGTCTCAAATACAGTCTGTTCTTCTGTGAGCTTTTCAGTTCTGTGTCTGTGTTAGCAAATAGTGTGGAGCAGTAGATGTGGATCTGCACAAGCGGTGTGGCACACTGAAGGTACTCACTGTATGTGTTATGAAGGTGAAGACTCCATGAAAAAAATACCCATTAATAGTTGATGTGCTCTTCCAGTTTAGTTTTGCCTTAGTCTAGTTAGTGCACACCAAAAATGGTCTGTAATGTGAACCAAAGCAGGTAAATGGGGATAATCAGATTTCATTTGAAAGTACATTATTGAGCAAAGTTAGCACACTCATGACTTTTTGTGTAAAACGTGCTGTTGTAATAGTGCCAACACCTTATTTGTGTCCAACAAGTTCATATCCTGAGTGCTTAATGAACCCATGTATCTGCATGGAATCCAGTTGAAACCAATAGCCTAATACCTTCCAATGAATCCTAATGACTTACAAAACACCTAAACGTTCTTTGTGCAGGGCAGTGATGATCTTGAGCAAAACTCAGGAACCACTGTTAGAGCAGAGGGCTGAAACACATTCACATACACACCCAAACCAGTGTTTCCTTTTGTACTGCTTCCTTTTTGCCCCACAACCCCAAAGAATTCTAACAAGATACTTGAGAGTATCCCTCAAAGCCTATGTTAGCCAATACACAGCTTAGTGGTTAAAGGCTCAGCTTTTTTAACTGGTATATCTTCGATCTTTTTAACCTAACAGCAGTTGTTAATAAAAGAACTATACTTGAAGTGAAATAGCAGTATAAAGTAAAACAGAGACATCAAAACAGCCATCTTCAGTTAAACATAAAACTGTGCATAAACATGTTGGGTAACTAGAATAAACTCGCACAAGAAAATACTTCCAATGCTCCTAATTTCTCCTTTTAGTAATTATTGGATGGTTCAGGAAAACAAGAATAGTATCTTTGTGTAAGATCACTCCTTACTAAAGGCAAAGTTCCTGAACAAGTCAGGACAGAATGGGTTATGCTGGGGGGATGGAGGAAAATACACAGATAGATTTCTTTGTAAGGAAATAATGCCTTGGCTTTACTGTTTTTGTTGTAGCATGATTCGGAATGACTGGCCTGCCTCCTGGTCCTGTGTACCCGAGTATATTGGTGACATGTGAAAAGCTGCAAGATACCTCTGATAAATCACCATAAAGACTCTTTTGCTAATGGTGCAACAGGAGCTGGATCTAAAAATAAGGGAAGCAGACAGAGCCTCCACTGTTTTGCCCTCTTTGAGGCAATGGTAAGAATTAAAAGTTGGAAAGAATCAGATGTGGGGTTCACACTGGAAATGACCAAGTTTACCCTTCACATGGCTGCAGATGTAAGGCCAAAAAGAAGGTAAAATAATGATCATACTTACCAAAATGTTGGGTGTTTCTGGGAGCTCTGTGTTTACTACACCACATGGAACTAATGGAACTCTTTCAAGACTGTTGGTTTGCAAAACAAGATATTTTCATTTACCATCATTCATGTAAACTTGACATTCGACTGATGATGCATTAAGGATAAAATTATGTTCTGCAGAAACAGAATGATATAAGAAAACTGAAATTGAATATATAAACTACAAATGGTAAAATATGGTTTCAGGCATTACAAATACAATTTCTTCTGAAGCTCACTATAGTTTAGAAACAAAGTTCAAAGTAAAAACATACGACATAAGGTACAACACGGCTACTTCTTTAAGTACAGTATCATCTTGTGAATTAGGGAAACTTCTAGGTAGCACATTAGCATCAGGGTCAGCATTACTACTATATCTACCTGCCACTTGCAGAGCGGAGCTCATCACCAGTTCCCACGGGAAGCTTAGTCAGCTCCTAAATAAATTGCAATAGTATGGTTCTAAATTGTATGATAAAACTTAACACCTACTCTCACTGTTAATGTAGGGTACAGTCATTTGTACAGAAAAAATTATTTGGGGAACTCATAACTCAAATGGCTGAGCAGATTTTGCTTATAACCTCGGTGAAGCAGTATAGGTCTCATGAGCTATGGCTTTGCAGCCTGAGCTTGATTTCTATGAAATCTTAAATGTAGTTCTCTCATGCTTTGCAAGACTAAATGAGGTATATGTATAATCAAATGTGAAGCCATTAAAGCTGCAGAGTTCTACTGTCAGATTCATTTCTTGGCTGAAAGCACAAGTGCACAGTTGAAACTTGAGATGCAAGTCTACAGTGGCACAAAATGCATCAAACTTTATCTGGTGGAAGCTCTGGAAGTTTTTGTCTTAGGATATGCCACTACTCAAACCAGAATGATTTTTCAGGAAGAAATATACCCATTTGATCTAGTGAAGATTTCATAGGCACACTTGGAATTTATGATGAAGAATGGGAAGAGAGTTAGTTGACTGATGGTGAAATCCAAGTTCTCGCTCTATCTAAGTCATCTGTTTCATTAAAAAATCAATAAAGCAAACAAAAAAAACCACATCAAACCCTCAAGTTTTGGGTTGAGTCTAGAATAAAAATGTTCTTTATCTCAAAAACATTGGCATTATTTCCAGTGTGGGCTACCTAAAACTGGACATAGAACTGGAGGCAATGACTCATAAATGCACATGATCACAGAATTGTGAAGGTTGGGAACCCAAAAATCAAGGCTGTGGTGGAAACTGATGTGAAACCCGGGGTACATAATTTTTCCGTGTATTCCAAGTCTTTTGGTAGCTACTATCTAGAATTAAAACACTAAGGATGATTGTGAGGCTAGAAGGATAAGAATTTACAGCAGCTCCTGCAGATACTGTAGCAAAGCTCCTTCCATGTACCTAAGGAAACAGCGCTGTACCATGTGTAAAATATTCCTGGAGATAAATTTAATTGATTTTCATTTTATCTATGTAATGAATTCTTTTTTAAGGAAGAAACAGTTCTTCAGAGCCTTTAAAATGGAGGAAGAGGGAAGTTGAATGCCTAATTCGTGTATCATTTGC